CGGTTTATAAATATCCTCATTTATAATATCACTGGTGATGCAATATTGTTAATTCCACCAACATTGGTTATAAGGGAAAAGTCTACAATACCTGTATTTAATTTCTTAACATATTGCAATACAGGTTCGAGTGGGATTTCATTCAATCATTTCATCGGAATAATTTTAGAAAGAAGATGGGCGCTTTTGGCTAGTGATCTGCAGGAATCATTTGTACGAAACATTTATGGTTTAAATGTCCATGATTTGGTTGGCTGGACATAGCTGGTCAGATTTTTCAAGCACGTCAATAGGTTTTTTTTCTCATTTAGTTTGAAAGACCGTGTGAAATTGTAACATTTATGTCCGTTTTTCCTTGGGGTACTATAACATATTAATGTTTCACAAAACATAAACACCTAAAATATTTACTAGTAATGTATAGATGCATGATACATGTACATTATAGAATAGAAGATTAGAATTGATTTTGCTCGAGAACCAAACTGAACCAAAATTTATCTAATTCAAAATTTTAATACTGAAGTACATAAAATGAAACTGACAAAATAAAAAGATGTTGGCATGAAAAAAAAAATTAACGCCCCATTTTTTTTTCTCGAACCAAAAACGTTTCGCTTCGAGTGCACAGAACAGGTATCCCAACTTACTGAGCTATCACCGCTACACGTATACTGACAATTTTAAAAGGACAAAGAAGCACCAATTTCACACATTTGGATTTTTTTTTGGAAAATTAATTTTTCGTGGTCTCTGGGTCTTCTCTCCATTTTTTAAAAAAGTTAGTTTGTTTCTTTGAATTTGAATACACACGAATAACGTTTCAAAATCATTGAGAGAAGACCCAGAGATAGAAAAAAATTATAAAAACGTGTTTAAAAATGTACGTTTTTGTACCAAATGTCTGATCTAGCCAATTTTCAAGTTATTTTTTTTTATCTAAACTAGGCTCAATTTCGGGAAAATATTTTCCATTCCTGTTGCACAGGAACCCGATAAATTAAAAAAATGTTAAAATTTCATGTGACGTTTCGATAAAATTTTCACTTTTCAAGTACGCCCAGATTCCTGCCGAATGCCCATTAAAAGCGCCCTCGTTCTTTGAAAACAATAGTAATTTTTATCATATAATTCCTTTGAATGTATTTATTTGATCATTTTAAATTTGTTTTTGAAACAAATTTTTTTTAAACAAAATTTTCGTGGCATCCCCATCCTCAGTATTTTTTTTTTCTTTTTTTTCCTTAGCATGTTCTCTTACTTTTAATTTATTTTAAAAAAAATATTGTTGATGTAGGTTTCCCAGTATTTTTATTCAATCAAAGAGGGATTTTTTTTTAACCTTGAACTTTAACAGGTCTTTTAATTCGGAGAATGTTTTGGATTGTCTACTTAATACCCCCCCCTTTTTTTTTGCACACTTTAAAATCGACAGTTCACCGAAGGCTGGCTATCGGGGTACATCAGTAAGATTAACTATGGATTAAAATTAACATGGCTAAAGTTAAATACTTAAACATTTTTATGAATAAATTTACGTACTAAATAGTTAATAATATCATATACCTATTAAAATGTCCACATCAAATTTCAAATTTTTGATACACTTTGAAATTCAATTTTATTTATTGTTCACAAAATGCAGTGAACAAAATTACTTCCGTGTTTACAATACCGCGACTTTGACGTCGTTTTCTGAGCATTGTGACGTCAAAAGATAGGGCCCTTTTCACATGACGGCAGTCATATAATATCTATAAATGTTTTACTCCTTAAAAAAATATCCATTCCACCATAATGGCAAGATTAAAATCATCTAAAGAATGAAGCTTATTTCAACTTATGTTTCATGATATAAAATAATTTGGGGAAGTTTACACTTTATAAACCGCGAAGCGGTTTATAAAAAAGCGTAAGCCGTCCAAAGTTATGTTATATCGTATAACGTAAGTTGAAATAAGCTCCATTCCTTATAATTTAATTTCAATGTAGACAATGAGAATTTGTTTTCCATTTTTTCATTCGGAAAAGGCTTTTAATATCGCATATTTTAAAAGTTAACGTCAAGCGGAGTAATAAGTTTATGACGTTACTCATTGTGACGTAGGCAGGTTATGTTATAAAAAATTGATAAAACCTTTTAACCAATCGAATGACGTGTTACAACTGAAATTAAATTTTTATCATTTATTATCAAAGTATAACTGCTTATACATATGTAAGTATCTATGAATATAGGGCAGAATGTTTTTAAAAAGTCAGTTATGTTTGATCATCATGAGTGTCTCCTTTATCTGTTTATTAACAATATCTTTGGAATACCAAGGTCTGTACCATTTTCCAGGGGACCACTGACCGTTAAGAAAGGCGAGGTGGCAGTCATTAAACCACCAGCCTCCTCTAAAGTCGCTGTAAGCAGCACAGTTATCCAACTTCCGTCCGTCGTTATCTCTGTCTGGGGTGGAGAAGTACATCCCAGACAGATCGTAGTTATCAGGAGAACCAGTGTCTGACATATCGTCACCTGTAGAAGTAAAGACAATTTTTACACGTAAACCTATTTCAGATTATAGATCATTATTATTTACTCAAAATGTAAACCTAAAAATATCTACACTATTCAACCATAAAAACTTTTTTGAATTGCTTTCAATTCCATTTTTTTTCCATTTACAAAATATGAACTCTGTTTTCCTTTAATATTTAATGTTGTATTTCTGTTGTCATTTGATTTCTCTTTTATTTTGACTGTATACGAGCATAATGATGAATCTAAACAGAAATAAAAGAATGATTGATTGATTGTGTGTTTTTAGCGTCCATCTTGAGAATTTTTTCTCATATGTTGAGGCAACGACTTGCCTGTTGAGTGCAACAAATTTTATCCTATAATAGCACGTGGCCATTGAGCAGTGAGAGATTTTTTTTACATGCTAGCGCTTACTGAAACATGGGACCTATGATCATACGGTCTCATTCGAAGGACCGCTCTCCTTCACAGTGTGATTGGAACCCGTGGTCGTTAAATGAATTATTATTTCATTGATATGAAACCTTTTTTTCTGAACATTGAAACAGGAAAATCTATATAAGTCTATAAAGAAGGCATATTCAAACAAATGAGCCGATCATGAGAGAAAGAATTACAAAAAAAAAAAAACATTTGGGGGGGGGTTCCGCCTTTGTAAGTTAATTGTTAACAGGAAACAAAAGCTGTTTTACTATTTTATAAACTCATTTATCATTAGAAATTTTTCAAATTTGTGCAACTAGACTTAATTCATATCATTAACTTCTTTTCCATTGTTTCATTACTTTTGTTACTATGTCTACTATTTATATGTCCAACACAAGCGTGGGATCATTGCTAAAAGTAATCGTTATCAAATGTAATTAATTACACTTATTTTCAAGTAAATTGTTTCAATTCAACAATTATTTAACACCTTAATTTGTTTTTATCAATGAATTATGCATCTGTCAAAAATACAAAAGTACACGCTATTAGCAATTTAGGTGTAAATCAAAAACTGTCTTTATCATCCGTTAATACGGTCTCATTGAATGGACCAGTCTCCACCTTCTACATTGGAATTTGAACCTTAAGAATAAACTCCTTACTCTGCTACTCTAGAGCAGACGCTCTTATCACTGCAACATCCTGTTAAAATGTAAACAATTTATTTATTGATGTTTTGGTTGCGCAGTGGCTGAGATTTAGTGTGAGTTATTGGTGTGTGAATCCCACAGACTTGTCACGTAGGCATATTTCATGAAGCGCGCTAGCGCTTCATGAAAAATATGCCTACGTGCAAGTCTGTGTGATTCTCACACCAATAATTCACACTTAACTTAAAAACATTCCTTATATTTACATTTTACACGTTTGGAAGCACCAAAAATATACTCAATATTTGAATTTCTCGCTGCCCTATATTGTTATACTTTTACTATAAAAAGAAAAAAACGTCGCTGTAGCTCTATTGTGACGGGACGGTAACGCACATTTCTCCGTGTATATTTCTACGCGTGAGTATACACGAAAATGATTTTCAAATCAATTTCACAATTGGCTTAGTAGAAAAATACAGCGAATGTAAATATTCAGTGGTGCTCTGTATATTTCATATACCAGGGTTCTAAAGATTTACACAAAATAAATAAAATGTATTTTTTCAATCAATTACTTTTGCAATCAATATATTTCTAATTTGATTAATATATATCCTATAAAGGCTGTACTAATTTAAGTGAATTGAATCTGAAAAAGTGGAATTGAATTAAATTACATTTAAAAGTAATTGACTCCATTCCAGCCACAACATATCTGGTCAGTTACTTAAAGACCATCCTCCCATTAGGAATTCATTATACCGTATGCAATATGCCCCTTTATATAAATGTCAATGTAATTTTTTTTTAGGGTTTGCGTTAGATACTTTATTACTGAACAACATTTTTAAATTATACAAAAAAGTTTTAGCACTGAATATATTTTGTTTCATATTTAAAATTGATTGGTTCATACTGATTTTTTTTTTAATTTCACTAATATGTCATTTAAAATCTAACTAGCCTATCAAGAGAACTGGTTCTCAAAGAGAGAGAGAGAGAGAGAGAGAGAGAGAGAGAGAGAGAGAGAGAGAGAGAGAGAGAGAGAGAGAGAGAGAGAGAGAGAGAGAGAGAGAGAGAGAGGGAGAGAAAGAAAAAGAGAGAGAGAAAGAGAGAGGGAGAGAAAATGAGGGGGGAGAGCCTCCAGATTTTTACCTGTCATCAGAATACTTACCTTACAATAGAACTGGTCGTCAGAGAGAGAGAGAGAGAGAGAGAGAGAGAGAGAGAGAGAAAAGATATTGTAGTGGTTTACCTTTCATCAGAAATAGACAAACTAGTCTCTCTACCTCTCTCAATTACCCATCTCTTCTCTCTCTCTATTTCTTCTCCTCTCTATATCTCTGATTACTGATCGTCATTTGCAGATAATTTTTCCGTTTACCTACCCAGGGTTCCGGTAGCTGATCCTCCAAGAAAAAGTCTGTATTGGTTGGTTTCATCAGCAACAGAGAACTGGTTGTATAATTCATAGAGCTTTGTCCCATTAGTCAGTGTGATAGAGACGTAGAGGGAGGAGTTCCTTCCGTTGGTTAGTTGATGGATGACGTCATTTCCTTAAATATTTCATTGTTGTGAACAAGCTGAATATGTTTATTTTAGGTTTGTTGATATATAAGGCAGCAAACAATTGTAGATGTAAGCAGAAATTCCATATTAGCAATATGCGTACATGTTTTGACATCAAAGTTAAAAAAAATCATTTTTGTAACATGTTCCTTTTAACTAAAAAACAAAATTCTAACTAAAACTGTTAATAATAAGGTGGATTTTCATCCATTATAACACCAGGTATAAATAATTATTTACCAATCCAGTAAGATTCACTAGGGAAACCGAAGCCTTTCTTATACTCCGCCCACGTTCTGTCGAAACTCACGGATCCACTCACTCGTTTCTGGATTGCCTAGATATTTATTTATTTTATATCAATAATTAAAAATCATGAAATGTTTTTGAGTTACGTTATACAGGGAGGGGCACTATTTCAAAAACTTTAACCATTTAAAGGTCATTCAAAGTTAGCATATTCTTTTCAGCAAGTAACACACAAATTTTTAAATGAGGTAAAATTTAAAAGAATGTTTGATTTCCATCTCCTGACTCGGTCTGAAAATATTACGTTGATAGGTAGGTTATTTTTTCGAAAATCAAATTTATTTCAATGTTAATTCTTTGAATTATTTTTTCTAGAGTACATATAGATATTATTGCTTCTTGGTGGAAAAAATAAGAGTTTCAAACAAGGCAACCAATTGTATCTTTAAACATCGCCTGATTATTTTCTTTAATAAATTATTTTTCATATGAAAATCTACTTTTTTATTCTCATCATCTATTTAAGATTTTTTTTCTGTACATTCATTATATTGAACACATGCCATTCAACTTTGTAATGAAAAGTATTGACTGTTAGAATGCTATAAGCATCATGTTAGCAATGCTAGAAAAATATTAAATGTGAACTCTGTGTCAGTTTGATTTTTAAAAGAAGATGAAATACCAGGCCAGTGGGCCATAGAACTTAGACGAGCTGTTTTTAATCTTAGTCTCACTTTTCCACTTTGTATTCCTTAGGAAAAAGTGTAACTGAGATCAAAAGTTGACTCCTCTAAGTTTTATGGCCCCAGGCCAGTTTTACAAAGTTCAAGAATTTATAAAAGATAGTATAGTAACTGGAATTAATGGGATAAAGAGACAGAGAGAGAGGGGAGAAAGAGAGAAGAGAGAGAAGACCAGGAAAAAAGTGAAAGAGATAAAAAAGAGATCTTACTGTCCACCCTCCTCCATCAGTCACCATGTCACAATACACACTGACACTGGTCTCGTTACCAAAAGGGTTTATCTCATATTTGCCAGACTGTGTGTGCCCGAGAAGATAGTGATATCTACAATCCCTTGTTAGTTTAAAATCTGAAATAAAATATAATACAAAATAATTATCATAATAATCAATATAGTCATTATTATATACAGAATGAGAAACAGAGAGAGAGAGAGAGAGAGAGCGGAAGAAAGAACGCGAGAGAGAAAGATCAATTACCTTTTTCTAATAATCCAAGATACTGATAGATATTCGTTATGTTTTCAGTTAGAATTTTGAACTTTTTATCTAATTCCTGAAATCTATTCTGACAATTTTCTAAACTGTTCATGTCCTCCCGCTTTTGAGTGTTAATATATCTTTTCAAAGATTCTTCCGCATTCTGTAAAGCTCTGTCACCTCTAAGAAAATCAACCTCCCTTTTTATAGCTTCTGTGGTCTGCTGTACAGTGTTGTTTTGCTTTAAGGCATCGATCTGTGTGGTTAATTTTTCGATCTTTTGCGATAAAGAGTTATCTTGCCTTTTTAACGTCTCTATCGTCTGCAGAAGAGTGGCGACCGTCGTCTCTGTAGACAGCAAGCTTCTCTTTACAGAAATGACGTCATCTACTGCTGCCCTGACGTCATTTGTCACGGATACCCGGATGAGGGTCTCCTGGTTGACCAGCTGTCGGAGGACGTCAATCTCCTTTACGTCACGTCTGTCGTTTATCAGAGCCGCAGTGGAGTTCTGATGATAAGAACCAGTTAACAAAGAATCTGAAATGGCTTCGGAAATTGTGATCAGAATCGTAAAGAGAATGGCAAACTTCATGGTTTGAACGTACAGATTAAATGCTAGTGATAGCATTAGATATCTCTGTGTCACTAGAAGACAACACACGGCGGTATATATAGAGACGGTTGGGGATTTCCCTAAATTAACCACGCGACATCACAATCAATTTAAAAGTAGCTATTACTTACCGATAAGTAATGACACATATTTTGAAGGAGTTTTTTGTCGTTTTCCTCTTAAACCGGAGATAATACTTAGCAAACAAGTGATTGAAACTAATCATGGATTTTTCCATGAGTATTTGAAATGACACTTAAAAGTGTTAAATGCAATGTTATCTATTGTTTATATAAAAAAGAAGACTTCTATGGCCTATATTATTGTATAGGTATTTATTTTTTTTTTTAGTATCCTTTTTGTAGAAAATTTTATTTGTTATTTTTCTGAAGAGAGCATTCTTCTATTAACCTGTAAAAGCATATTTCATTTTGTCGTTTGAAAGTTCTCTTTCTGAAGCAACATTTAAAATATTCCCCCGCAGATATTGCAGACGGGCATTTATCAAAGATTACACAATTATGGACTCTTTTGGTGTTGAATATGGTTTGTTATTCACCAGAAAAATATTCATATTGACAGAGGCGAAGTCTCATAAGAAAATACACTCACACGCACACACAACCTTATAGACTCACATAAGGAACTTTCGAAAATATTTGAGATTTTGTTATATACCTGACGGTTTGTAAGCACCGAGCTCACTTAATGAAACCCCCTGCCTCCCATATGTATGATAATCGAGAATGACGGAATGCTTAACATTTACATGTAGATGTGTCAATTAAAAACTTACGAGACTGATGAGAAAAAGACACCAAATTGATAATCCACTACTTCCATGTGTTATAAATAGAGGGGAAATGCAGAGGCCTGGTACACAGTTCAGGACAATTTTGTATAAGAACCCGAAACAGTTATTCATGCATGAATATAAATTTTTCTGCATAATTTTGAAATAAAATGGGCTATTGTACAATTATTTTTTTAGGATCTTATCCCTGATACCCAGTAGTTTTTAACAAATATATCATTTTGTAATTAAAGCGTCAGTTTTTGAAAATAAAACATATAATGAAAACAGGAAAATCATAAAATATCTACCATCATGAGACTCTACTTTTCTCGATAAAACTAGTGATTCATTAAGTACATCAATAAAAAGACCTAAAACGGTTTGATACTGATTATTGGGTTTTAATATTTTTACTTTCACTGACTGTATAATACCGGGGACACGTCATAAACATCCCACGACACAGACCTTATCATTTTTTCTTCTTTAATTCATAATCATTTAAAATTCTTGTGTAAAAGAAAACATAATAAACATTATAAAAACACGGGTATTCCAAGAATATGAGAAAAACGCCAAAACTATTATGTACTATTTAAGGTTAGGTTATATTAAAATAAAAATGCATATCTTCCAGAATCATCTGCATTAGCAAACGGACTAAATCAGTTCTCTGAGAACAAAAATTATTGTAATAGGTTAAGACACTGACTTTCCATCACTTCCCATCTTAAAGACACTTCATTAGAATGAATCTCAATAGCTGATGCATACATGTACCATGTTCAAATAGTTTCTCCATCCCTGTTTCCTTTTGATAGTTAGAAAATTTTCCTATCTCCTATTATATCCTCTATATACAGCGCTCAAGGACATATTGCGGTGATGTTTGCCTCATTAGAAACTGAAAACTTGATGTGCAATGTCCGACCTTTCTATTATTTTTTGAATGGTCTACACTGTAGAATATCTATCGTTCAGAAAGGTTTTTTTTTATTCTATATACATCATCTCTAATTGTAATTTTTTCATATTAAGGACTTTTCACTATATATGACTTTCTAGCCGACATGAAAATTCATAAAACTTGTATGGATCAATGCATATATTTATATATTTTTTTCCAAAACTTATTTATATTTTAAATGTAGCAAAAGAATCAGCATGTCAACATGAATCATATCATACAATCTAGAAATATTGGTATGGGGTTGAGGGCAACATTGATTATATTATTCTACAAGGGATGTTATATTGTCCTATTCTACAATGGATGTTATATTGTCCGACGCATGGTTCATTTATAAAATCAAGTTCAGAAGATGTGGTTTGCATAATTGAGTGTGTAAATAATAGCCTAACAATGAGTATGAAAAACACCAGCCAGCATTTGCTTATGACACATTGTATTTGCTTACAAGTCCATTTTATATACATTAATAATAAATTAAGAACTTTCTTAAAGATGAATTTCAACGGGTTTTTCAGCTAAAAGTTCCTTCTTAACAGATGGAAACACCTAACCAGATCATACCAGATGCATCAAGAAGGTTATATTAAAGTGGGACTTGTCTGCGAATATTCAGTTCCATATCTTTAATAAAAATCTGCTTTTAAATAGAACCCATAGGGAATGGTGTAATGAAACGTCAAAAGTTTTTAATTAGCAGTCAACTAGTCGAAAATGCAACTGATAACGTGAAAACAGTTGACCATTAGGAGTTGAATTCTTTTCTGAAAGTGTTCAACTGATTTGAATAATTGAATAAAATCGCAGGTTGACCATTAGCTGAATGCCAATACTTTAAAAATTTCATGCAGAAAAATAATTGACAATAAGTTGAACACTCCGATTTCTGCAGATTTAGTTTAAGAAAATCTTTCTGATTGTATCATGCATGAATCACGGTATGAAATCTCTGTAAGTATAAAATTTTAGGATTTACCTTACTAAACTTGTTATTTTAAAACAGATATTAGGGAAAAAATTAAAACAATAAATAAAACCACAGTAGCCTGTAATAGAGTACAGGTCCCTACTTTCCTATACCTTTTGAAAAAGTGTCGTGCATCAATTCTTTTGTTTCGTTTCTTGTTGTGTTGGTAAAACATGCCATTACCTTAGACTAAATTTATACCTAAGGCATTAACTTTTCTGCACAGAAAGTGAAGAAGGCATGTAGCAACTCATGAGATTGTGCCAGCTGAATTTATTTATTACATGCATTTAGAAGTATATGTACATTTATGTCAATTTAGACACTCTTTTGTTTTGACTTGTCATACTCAGAGGCATGACAAATTAATTTTCAAAAACACTTTTGTGTTATTCATTTTAAATCTCTTATCAATTTTTAAATGATGCATGCCACCTAATTTCACTGACTATTGGAGATTAATTTTCAAGATAAAATTGGTTAATGTACAATGCCTTTAACTTACGATCTTATACCTCATATATATACACCCAGTAGAATTCACATTTTTACATGTAATCAAAACATCAGTTCTTAACAAATAAAACATGTAATGAAAACAAGACAGTGATAAAATAACTGTCACCACTAGACTCTACTTTTTCTCGATATCAGTTGTGATTTATAAAGACACCTATTACGGTTCCTGTACTATTGTCACAATCAAAATTGATTTTGTTTCATGTTTATTTGTTTTCCTTTTATTAGTATTGCTCTGTGTTGACCCTTATTTGTATTTAGTGTTTATCCCTCTAAGAGTCATATTATAAAAACACATCATTTGTACTTTTTTATGCTTTGAAAACTGGTTACGTTAGTTTATCCGAAATGTAATTTTGAAAGAATATTACTTGGAATCTTTTTGGGATAACTGTTAATTTTATATTACAAAAAGTGTTTTTTTTCCTTTTCTTTTTTAATAAATATAGCATGAACATTCTTAAAATCCTGTTTCAAATTTCAAAAAAAATATTACACTTGAACTGTAATAACAAATTAAATTTCTAGGAACATTTCAAAAAATTAGGGATTGGCAATATAAAGCTTTTGCCTCACCATGGGACTTTAAAGTCATACAAATATAAATTCCTAACAAAAAAAAAAAAAAAACATTTCAATATACAAATGCTGTGTTATTTTATAACATAGGACACATTTTTTTTCCTTTCAGTGTATATTGTATTATTTGTTTGCGGTTGTAAAATTAAAACCAAACTGTCACATTATTATAGTAATTTTTGTCAGTTCTTATATAACTCAAAATCATTCGAAATCAATTGCTGATATACAGTTATTAAGCTAAATTTGTTTTATTAATTGTTGAAAAACAAATAAAAAAACATAACACATTCTTAAGACATGACCATCACGAGGGTTTTCCTCTGTTAGATGAGTAATTATAACAGATCACAAGCACCCTTAAATATACATTTTATATTTATAAGTGTTTTTTGTCTCCACTTTAAGTTACTAATTATGAGAAAAAAAGGAAGCATGTCAAGACATCTTACATCTCTATGAGTGAAACTATGTCATGAAGAGAGTCTATTATGTAGTAAAACCGTGGAGTATCAAGGACAAAGCATAATCATTGCATAGTAGTGAGATACAATTATCGTAAAGACATTAAATTAGACTTCCTATTTTAACGCTAGAAATCAAATTGATGTCTTTTTACAGAATAAAATGATATCTCTTTATTAAGAATTTTTTTCATCTTTCCTGTCGGAAGGGTTGAAATATTTAACTCTCTTTTTTTCTTTAAAACTTGAGATGCCACGTTATTCTTTAATAATTTTCAACTCTTTCATAAATCAAAGAACCAAAAATCAAACCTTGAAATACCATCAAGCAGTGGAAATAATAAAAAAAAACCATGGCCATTGTTTTTAAAAACTCTGAGTTTAATACAATATTGTCATACCTGTATCTTACTCCTGACCACATGAAATAGTTGTATAAATCCTGACACACAAAACGTCCAGGAAAAGTTAAATATTACTCTTAAACCCACATAACACAGGGATTGAAATTGCTACTCAAAAACATGTATTCCATTGTGATTGTGACATTTCGATATATCGATGTTTTACTTTTTTAAATTTTAATTTTTCCTCCAACAACAATTTAAGAAATATACAATCAAATGTCTTTGATCACCCCTAGTATGCTTTTATCTCAAAATTACGTGCCCCCACCCCCTCCCCCTGCATCCATCAAGTCTGACGCCATCATTATTCTTCTATATCTAGAAACGTTTAATTAGAAATTAAGAAATTGATAGCAAAATAAAAACAAAA